TGTACTGCCGGGATTCATTGCATGGGGATTATGGAAGGCTTATAATGCTGAAAAATACGAGGGAAAGGCCTTCAAAGAAGGGACAATCATCGCTACCACTTTGAAGACAATCCAGCAATGGATATGGATTCATAAGGAGAAGAAATGGATGAATCTGGACGATAAAATGAAATCTTTTGGGTTCTGTTTATATCGCTGTAGAATTAATCTTCATTACTTAGATACCTCGTAATTTTCCATGGTGGGTAGAAGTCATCTACCACATTGCTGTAAACAATTCTCATGATCCATTAATAAAAATTTCTTTCTATAAATATATATATATATATATATATATATATATATATATATATATATATATATATTATATTTTTTTTATTAGAAAAGCAATGTAAGGAAAGAAAACACGGAGGGGGGGCTAGGCCAAAACCTTCCGGGAAACAAACAACGCTACCCAAAAGTGAAAGCGAAATGAGAGAATAAAAACCAAATGCTACCCAAAATTGGCAGCGAAATGAAATAAAACAAAAAACGAAAGATTAGATCCAAACTACAATTCCTAAATGAATTGTCCCAAAAGAGTAGTCATAGTTCGGAGGGAGTTGTGTAGGTAAGGCTGTACGTGCTCTTTTTCCATCTTTTCGAAGTTCACCTGTGTGTCCTAAGATTACATACCGGCCATGATAACTTTTAGAAGTGTCCGTGGGAATGGACTTCCCGGTGGCAGGATCGTTTGAGTAAGAGAGATATCCTTCCTCGGGTATGATTCTTCTTTTGGTCCTTGAGTTCCTTATAAGCCCCGACCTTGGGACTTCTTTCACTTCTACCTCATTTTGTAAAAGTACAGGATCGTCCAATGCCTTGAATTTGTTGCAGGTTAGAATGTTTGGGTCTGGAACAAAGTCCTCACCCATTTTTGCATTTGAATCCTTACTTGCATCTCTTGAATCAGCATAAGCACCCTTTTCATCCGTATTATGGCTTATCAAAACCTTGTAACAAGTAGCAGACTCTTTCTTAGTACTTCTTCCAAAGAGTTCTCCAAGGTTTATAAGCTTTGGTTTCGAGTATTCCTTTGCAAGCCTCGTGAATCTTGCCAAATTAGCCTTGTATTCTGGAGAATCCGTCTCTATAACAGTTTGCCTTACAACCTCACCCAAGGTTACTGCCTTATCCTCCGTTTGTAACTTCAAAATGGAATCTGTTTTCTTTGAAGCAGTGTATGCTGCCTTCTGAGGTTCGGGTGTAATAGGTGCAGAGAATGCAACCACTGCCATACTATCAGGCACAGTGAAGGAATGAACCAAATCAGATTTTGGAAGACCATCTTGTATTCCAAGATTTCCAGATTCAAAGGTCCTGCAGTCATCAACATTGTTCGAAACTAAAGTATCTTGGATCTCAACATCAAACAAAGCCTTTGAAATTGATGGTTGTGAATCTATCTTAACACAAATCGAATTCTAGTTGTGGCAGCAAATAGCAAAATCAGAATTACCAGAAACCGCAATGGTAGAACCAATTTGCCTCAATTTAGTAGCAAAAAGCCTTATACCAGTTTTGTTGAAACCCTCAGGAATAAAAATAGTATTATAGCCATCAATTCGCCATTCTTGAAGACGAATGTAAAAACCAGAAGAATTGGCGTCAAGAGATAGATGAAATCTGCGATTACCTTCAGTACGCTGAGTCCATAAATTCGCCACTGGGTTGAGGATGAAACCTTCTAAGCAATTGCAAATCCAAAGAAGAATATCGTAACTTACAGAAAATCTGTAGGATTTTCTTCTCCCTTCTTCACAAAGTTGAATGCGTCCATTTGAAATATCAAACTGGAAATGTTTTTATTCGATTTTGAATCTGATTGAGGAAGAAGAGGTTCCTGAATATAAACCTTCGTGGATGACAGTCTTCCGCTGGCCATGTGCTCTAGAGGTAGAACGGAGTGAACCACCATCTATTCCAACTTTCCCATGAGCAATAGCAGCGGCGGCGTTCCACTTTCTCGCACCAAAACCCTCCATCATATATATATATATATATATAATTATTATTTCTCTCTCTAAGCTTCCTTTGCTCTCCTGATGCCGGCGACCAGTTCCGGGGGAGCTTCCGGCCACCCTCCGTCATCCACTCCCACTAGCTCTCATCCCAACTCAAGCAGCCAATCCCTCCATGGAAAATCTTCAGCCCCACGGCTTCAGGCAGCCTCTTACAAACCTGACCTCTTCAAAGGTCTCAAACCTAGGAAGAGTTACGCAGCAGCAACCATTGCACAAGCTAACCAGGTAACCACCATCAACCTCCCTCATAGATCAGTTGATAAGTTCAAAGGTCTTCCATGCATCTCCTTCTCCAAAGAAGAGGTTGAAAACCTTGCTGCCAAATTCTCTAAAGCCCTTGTTGGAACCTTCTTTTTTAACAGACCAAGTCTGGATTTCATTCGAACCACTTTGGAGAGAATGGGATTCATTGGCTTTTCTGTTACTCTCATAGACTCCACACACATTCTCTTAAACTTCTCCAGCGATGATGATTTCCATCGCTGTTTTAAGCGAAGGGAATGGTCCCTGGGAGCTTACAAAATGCTTATCTCGAAATGGACTCCCAATTTTGATCCCAATGTTGAATCCCCTATCATGCCCATTTGGATTTCTATCAAAAACCTACCTATTCACTTCCATGCCAAAGAATCATTGATGCAAATTGCCAGAATCTTTGGTAATCCAATCAAACTTGATAGCACCACTGAAAACTTTGGCAGACCTTCAATTGCAAGAATCTGTGTTGAAGTGGATATCTCACAGCCTCAAACCAACAAATTC